AAGCTAAGGTTAATTTATTATTAAAGAAAGAAAAAATTTTAAAATATAGTGTAGCCTAAGTGTACAGTATTTATAAAGTCTACAGTAGTGTACAGGAATGTCCTAGGCCTTCACATTCACTCACCACTCACTCACTGACTCACCCAGAGCAACTTCCAGTCCTGCAAGCTCCATTCATGGTGAGTGCTCTACACAGGTGTACCATTTTTTATCTTTCATATTATATTTTTACTGTACCTTCTGTATGTTTAGATATACAAATCCTTACCATTGTGTTCCAACTGCCTACGGTATTCAGTGCAGTAACATGCTATACAGGTTTGTAGCCTAGGAGCAATAGCCGTACGATATAATCTAGGTGTGCAGTAGCCTATACCATCTAGGTTTGTGTAAATACACTCAATGATGTTTGCACATGATGAAATTGCTTACCGACGCATTTCTCAGAATGTATCCCTGTTGATGAGTGACCCATGACTATATAGCTTATAAAAAGTGCAAACATCAGGACAAAGGGCCATATGCTAGTTCTTTCTAGTAAAAAGTTATAAAAAACTCAAAAAAAAAGTAGTTTTCATATCTGAGGAATTACTACTTAACTGTAAATTTGAGGAACACCAATTTTCTGTATTTTTTTTTGGTAGGAAATTTGCAAGGATGATGCAGTATACTGAGTATCAATCACTACTGGGAAATAGTAAAGCAGTCATTAGGGTTTTAAAGGTTATTTCCATGCATTTGCGCACGCACGTGTGTGTGTGTGTGTGTGTGTGTGTGTGTGTGTGTGTGTATGACAGAGCCTTCAAATATACCCTTAGTATTTAATATTTAAATGAAACTAAAAAATGTTATCATGTCATGGTTTTGATCTTTTGTAATGTATAACAACACCTGTAGTCTGACTTGACTGAGGTGTGTGGAGTGCTTTCCTGTCCTACGCTGATGAGCACTGTGGGAATACGGTTATAATCCTGCCTTTGACCTACCAAAAAGGGAGAAGAACATCAGAATTTTATACTTTATTTAAAATTAATAAAATGAAAAACAGTTACAAGTAAATGAAAATTCAGTACATTTAGTTGGATATTATTTGTAAATTTACATATTCACAAGCTCATAGATCCATCCTTCACCACCATCAAACATTTTAGTCTACGTAGTCAAAGTCTTCTGGAATTCCAAAATTTTTATCAATTTTATTTTCTTCAAGTCCAAATTTTCTTTTGGCCCAAGATTTTATTGCAAATATATTATCTATAGAGAAAATTGAGAAGTACTTTTGAGAATTAAAAACACAATCATAAAACATTTCAAGTATAATTATCTTCCTTGTTCTGTGCTTTCTTCTATTAACTTTCAGAAGTATCAAAAAAGTTTTCTGTATTTTCAATTGTAATGGCAACTAATTATAGAAAAAAGATTTAAAAACTATTTTGAACAAGTAAACGGATATCATATTTAAAAACTCAGTAAGCTGACTGTTGCTAAAGAATACCTGACTTAAGAATAATATTTAATACAAAGACAGGGACAGTTTAATGGTATCTTTTCTGCATTTCCACAACAGAGGCCGGGACTGTTACTTCAGGAATTAGAGTTGCCCCTGTTCCCAAAGGGAACACATTTTCTCCAGACCCTTCTTCCTTTCCCACTGAGAGTAATGGCTTCCAGACAATCAGGCCTGTGTGAGGGAGAGGGAGTGGGGAGGAGGGAAAGGGCGTCTCCTCTTTTAAGACTAAGATAGGAACAGACGTGTCCTCAACATCCCCTAGGGGGAATTTAAAATGCATTTTACCACTTAAACAGTGTTATATCTACTTAAGGGAATTTATCCCAAGGAAATAAAACAAATTGTGTACAAAGATTTTTGGTAAAGGATCCTCACACCAGTGCAATAATAGAAAAAAAAAAAAAAAGCAATCTGAATGTCCGTTCATCAGGGAAAGGTGCCTATGCACAGGCTGTGGGGATGCAGGACAATACCAGTGTGCCACCAGGGGCTGCACTTGGGGGGTTGGAATGACAGCGGTTTTTTTCCTTAATTTCAAATATTTCTTTCTTTCTTTTTTTTTTCCTAAGAATCTTACACTGTCACCCCATATAGAGTGCAGTGGCATCATCATAGCTCACAGCAACCTCAAACTCCTGGGCTCAAGCAATCCTCCTGCCTCAGCCCCTCTCTCTAGCAGCTGCGACTGCAGGTGCATGCCACCAGACCCCGCTAATTTGTCTGTTTTTCCTAGAGACAGGGTCTCACTATATTCCTCAGGCTGGTCTTGAACTCCTGACCTCAAGCGATCCTCCTGCTTCAGCCTCCAAAAATGCTAGAATTACAGGCGTGAGCCACCATGCCCAGCCATCTAGATACAGTTTAAGAACTTTTTTAAGTAAAAAGAAAGCAAACCTTAACTAATAGCTGTATGATAACTTTTAGTTATAAGTTTTACTGATATTTTCTTTTTGTTTGTTGTGAAGACAAGGAGATTTACTGAGGTATAGTTTGCTTTATCTCTTATCTCCATCTTTTCATAACACATGTTTATGTTGGAAGGAGTAAGTTGTAACTTCAAATGGAAATATGGTTATTAACAGCTGTTTCTGCTGTTCTAAAAATATCTCCCTTTTACATGATTTTTAAAGTTCCAGGTTCTTTCACAGCTAATAACATGGTGGTGGGGGAGTTGTTCCAACTGTTTTTCTAATCATAATTTTGGAAGTTTATGATCAAATGGAAAACATAAAAGGATTTTTTAAGAGAAAAGGAAAAGAGGAGCATTTATCTATGTGTCTAACATTGTGCTGAAGGGCTTACAAACTGTCTTATTTAATTCTCTTAAAATGTGAGGAAGATATTATTTATCCACATTGAACAGATGAGGAAGTAGGTTCAGAGAAGTTCAAGAGGTCATACAGCAAATTAGGAGCACAGCTTGGATTCCTTTCAAAGTCAAGTTCCTTCCACCACACGCACATGCTGCCTGCTCCCACTGTTTGCTGTGCTGCTTTTTCAAGAACTACTGGGGGGAAAATCACCTTGGACTTTTGTCTTACTTTTCAACTAAAAATCTACTTGCTTCTGTTTTAGGACTCAATTTTATATTTCTCAAATCCATACAGTATCACTGTATTTATTATTTATTTATATTTTGTGGGAGATATATTTCATTATTCTCTTTCCTTTAATGTTAGTTTGCTGTTTTTACCTTCCTCTGTTCTTACCACTAAAGCATTATATTACTTAGGAAATAACTTTGTGATAAATAAGGTTGCAATTTTACAAAAAACTAAAGGCCAGTTATATTATCAATCTACTTGATTCTAAAAAAGACTAGGAAGAAAATAATTCATTTAAATGATTAAACTTTTTGTGAAAAGCACAGAGGCTTGGATAGGGAGTCAGGGAAACCTGGCTCAAATCTTCGTTCTTCCAGTGACTAATCATCTTTGACTAAATGTAGTTACTTGAAGCTTTTTACATCTCTATGTCAACTTAACTTTATCCATATTCTCCTACAGAAACATAATAAGGATGAGTAAATACATGTGAAGGCATTATAGATTCTTACCGGGGTGGAAAAATTCAATTACCATTGTTTTGTAATTAAGTATTGGAAAAATATCAGTGTGATTTTCTAACAGGTTTTAACAATAATAATACTTGTATATAATTCAAGAGCAATCACTATTTATTAACTTTCTCCTAAACCTTAAGGCACACAGATAATGTCTTATTAATTCCCGTTTCTATGGACTATCTCTGGTATAGATCAGAAGGTATATCCTCTGACAAATTGATGTCTGAGGCATTTACATGCAAGCAGGCTTGAAGAGAAGACATTATCATGTAGTGAGTGAGAGCTCAGACTCCGGAATCAGAAATGCTGGATTCTAATTCCTGTTCTGCTGCCTAGCACATGTGTGGCCTTGGACTCCTGAGAGCCTTAGCTTTAGCTTTATCTTTTAAATTAGGGGTAATAATCATATTATTATCCTCAAATATCATATCATTAATTCCTCACAAGAGTATTGTGGAGACCAAATAAGAATGCACCGTAGACACTAATTACAAAATAAATGGCATATAGTCGGCCCTCAACAAATGTTAACTATTATTATTATTAGCAAGAAGATAAATCTTCAGTATTTCATGAAATTCTTAAAGGTGTGTCTTACATTAATATATATAGAAGTTAAGTGATGAGCCCAAGTGACTTATCTTGGGAAAAGTTGCATGATAGTTAATAGAAGCAATCATTAGTTTTACAAAAATATTTTACACTTTACAAAATGACTAATAAGATTATTAAAAAAACCTTACCTGAAGCAAATGAAATGATTTAATATATAAAAACTTGAGTAACGTATATATTTTCAGAAATGCCTTTTTTTCTTCTTTTTTTTTGAATAAAGCTAGCACAAAGACATCTGAATTTTATATTACAGTAGGTGTGGAAGAAGTTTAACTATATAGTTTACCAGTGTTGTTTATAATACATACCAGTCCATCTGTTAGCAGCTTCTTTGGCTACTTTATTAGCTTGACCTAAAAAAAAATTATATATGTAAAACTTACACATTTATATATAAAACTTTATATTTTTACACATATAAAATTATCTTTAGCTATGTACAGATTTATATCTTTTTCATATGAACAAAATTTTAATAAAATTTTTATATATATGATGGCTATGAAAAAAAGTTCACATAGTTATGTAACATTGTATCTTATAAACCTCAAATTCCCAAGGAAATTTTAGATAGGTGCAGTTACATTAGCCATTAATAGAAATTCAGTATAAACAATTTCCCTTTCCTAAATGGTCATCAACATTGTACTTGCTCCTTTAAAGACAACATAGAAGTTTAAATGAGAAGTGTTTCTCAAACAACTTACCATAACAAAATACAATAAAACAACTTAAATTTAATGGTAAGAATTTTACTGTACAATATTAAACTGTAATAAGCCTAACCTTAAAAAAATTTTGTGGTAAGAAGGTAGCCCCACAGGAAGAAATAGTTACTTTTTAGTTAATATTAATTAAGGGACAGGGTCTCACTCCTTCACTCAGGCTAGAGTACAGGGGTGTGATCATAGTTCACTGTAGCCTCGAACTTGTGGGTTCAAGCGATCCTCCTGCCTCTGCCTCCCAAAGTGCTGGACTTACAGGCATGACACATAATGCTATTAAATGTATCTGTATGTATATTATGTCTTTCAAGTTAATCTATACAGCACATAATAATGCCATGATTAACTGGGCATAAATATTACTTATAATGATGGCCTTTTTGAAAATTGAAAGATAATTCACATACCACAGAATTCCCCACATAAAAGTATATAATTCAGTGTTTTTTATTATATTCACAAGTTGTATACAACCATTACCACTACCTAATTTAAGAACATTTTTTCTTCATTATTTTTTTCTTTCTGTTCCTCAGATTAGAAAATTTCAGTTGAACTATCTTCAAGTTTGTTTGTTTGTTTGTTTATTTACTTACTTACTTACTTATTTATTTATGAATGAGACAGAGTCTCACTCTGTTGCCCGGGCTAGAGTGCCGTGGCGTCAGCCTAGCTCACAGCAGCCTCAAACTCCTGGGCTCAAGCGATCCTTCTGCCTCAGCCTCCCGAGTAGCTGGGACTACAGGCATGTGCCACCATGCCCGGCTAATTTTTTCTCTATATATTTTTTAGTTGTCCGATTAATTTCTTTCTATTTTTAGTAGAGACAGGGTCTCGCTCTTGCTCAGGCTGGTTTTGAACTCCTGAGCTCAAACAATCCGCCTGCCTCGGCCTCCTAGAGTGCTAGGATTACAGGCGTGAGCCACCGCGCCTGGCCTATCTTCAAGTTTATTGATTCTTCTGCCCACTCAAATCTGCTGTTAATCCCTCCGGTGAATTTTTCATTTCAGTTATTATAGTTTTCAATTTCAGGATTTCTATTTGGTTCCTTTTTAATAATTTTTATCTCTTTATTAATAGTACTTTAGACATGGTTTTCTTTTGCTATTTGAACACGTTTAAAATAGCTGACTTAAAGTCTTTGTCTAGTAAGTCCAACATGTGGGCTTCCTCAGAAACAATTTCCAATGATTGTTTTTATTCCAGTGCAAGTCTTACTTTGTTTCTTTGCCATTATTAAGGAAAATCAGAGTTACTTGAACACAAGTACTGTGATACTGTGACAGTAAATCTGATAACCCAGATAACTACTAAGTGACTAACAGGCAGGCAGTGTTTACAGCATGGATATGCTGGACAAAGGAATGATTCACATCCCAGGGAGGATGGAATCTTGCAATTTTTGGTGGCAAAACTAGACAGTTAAAATAGTACAATATAGCAACCCTGGAAATCAGATTCTTCCCCCTCCCTAGGGTTTTTGCTTGTTGTAGTTGTTAGCATTTGTTTAGTAATTTTTCTGAACTAATTCCGTGAAGTCTGTGTTCTTTGTGGTGTGTGGCCACTGAAGTCTCTACTCAGTGCAGTGATCTGCTGTTGATGAAACAGAGATTTCCTTAAAGACATGGATTAAATCTCTTTGTGAAGAGGTTATCTTTGCCAAAGAGCTCGGCCAAGTCTCTGCTAAGGGGCTGTGTGTGTGTGTGTGTTGGGGCATGCCTTCAACATTCGTGTCGGCAGTTTATAACTCTGCCTTAGTCTTTGTTTCTTGCTTGCACAGAGCATCAAGGTCAGATAGATGTGGAAGCTTAAGACCTTCTCAGGTCTTTACTGAGAATGTGAATTGCCCTACCATGTATGTAGCCTTCTAGATTTCCAGGAATATATCACTTTTGAAAGAACCTATGGACATCTCCTTCAGTTCCTCCTTTTAAACTTTTTGATTAGTCTACTGTTTGCCTCAACTGTTACTCATCACTTAAGACAGCTGTGAAGTTAAAACTCTTGCTTGTAATTGCTTTAGAAAAACACTCCTTAGGGAGAAAATGATAATATTGGGCAACTCCAAGCCAGGTCACACAAAGACAATCCTTTCTGTTGGTGTCTTTCAGGGAACCACCAGACACATAAATAATGACAAGTCTTTGGGATTGAGGCTCTTAATGAGCTCCAGCTGCATTCTGCTCCCTCTGACAACAGGAATGCAGGGCTGTTATCTTTCAAGGTTACTGCTCAGCTGCAGGGTGGGGATGAGAATAAGGCAAGTTAAAACACCACAAAGCTCACTATTCTTACAGAGGGCTAGCTATTTTTCTTGAATAGGCTCCTGAAAACCTTTAATTCATTTCCAGAGTTCTGAAAAAGTTGATTGTAACAATTTTTGTGAGTTCTTATGCAAAGGCAAGTTTTCAGAAGTCCTTACTCTACCTTTTCACTGTCATCTTTGCATTTATTTCTAAGAAAATTTCTTAAGTACTCCTAAGATCACTTACTTTCAAGTATTTTTGTGGGAATTTAGTTTCTACTACTTGTTTTATCTGGTCTCATTTGAATAATGGTCAGCATAGCTAAAATTAAAATTTATTTTTAAGTGAATTATTGCTTTTACTTCTCACTTCTTAGAAACTAGCAATTAATCTTGCTAATATGTGCTTAATGATATCAATAATTCAACTGTCATGATGAAATATAAATATTTCTTATAGGCATTATTAAGAAATAAAAAATAATATATAGCCATGCCTATATGAACAAATGGTTATGGCTATTATCAGAAAATTGCATCCCAAATAAACCATGACAGACTTAGAGATAAGCTTGAGTGTTATAGCTGCTATAGCCATGTTATTAAGAACCAATCCTATTAAAGTCAATTTGTGAAACCCATAATCCTTTAATCCAGTATAATCTGTTCTGCACTAACATGATAGATGAAATCCTATGAAACCCCTCATTATCAAAAAGCACATTTTAAAAACAATAATTTTATTAAAAAGGAGATTTGGGAGAGTAGAGGTTAAAGTCTTAAAAAAGTCTCTCAATTTTGTGATTAGGAGATCACTGTCATCTACTACTTAAATATTTAAATTTCTTATATTTGTAGGTTTACAGTTTTCATCAAACTTGAAAAACTGTAGCTTTTATTTCTTCAGATACTTTTCTGGCCCAGCCTTCTGTCCCCCCAAACACACTCCCTTTGAGAGTCTACACATATATTAGGTTGCTTAAAGTCCTATAGCTTATGGATGCCATTTTCATATTTTTTTAAATTAGTTTTTTCTCTTTCATTTTAGATAGTTTCTATTGCTATGTCCTCAAATACACTAATCTTTTCTTCTGCAAAAGTAATCTTCTATTAATCCAACATAGTGTATTTTTCATGTCAGACATTGTAGTTTTCATGTCAAAAAGTTCAACTGTTTTTCTATCTTCCATGTTTCTACTTAACTTTTTGAACATGAGGAATATATTTTTTTTTTTTTTGACACAGAGTCTCACTCTGTTGCCCAGGCAAGTGCAGTGCAATCAGCCTAGCACACAGCAACCTCAAACTCCTGGGCTCAAGCGATCCCCACCTCAGCCTCCTGAGTAGCTAGAACCACAGGGATGAACCACCACACCTGGCTAATTTTTTCTATTTTTAGTAGAGACAGGGTCTTGCTATTGTTCAGGCTGGTCTTGAACTCTTGAGCTCAAATGATCCTCCCGCCTGCCTTCCAGTGTGCTAGGATTACAGGCGTGAGCCACCATACCTGGCTAAAGAATACGATTTTAATAATAATTGTTTTAATGTTCTCATCTGATGATTCTAATTTATGGGTTAGTTTTGACTGAATGATTATTCTGCTCATTATAGATTATGTTTTCCTACTTCTTTGCATGCCTGGTAATATTTGCTTGTATGTCAAACATAAGAAATTTTGTTAGTTGCTAAATATTTTTTATTCTTATAAATATTCTTGAGCTTTGTTTTGGGATGTATTTAAGTTATGTGGCAATAGACTGATGCTTTCAAGTCTTGGTCTCATGATTTGTTAGGTAGGTCCAAGACAGAGCTTAGTCTAGTGCTAATTCCTCCCTCTATTGAGAAAAGACCTTCTTGAGTACTCTATCCAATGCCCTCTGAATTATACATTTTCCCAATCTGGCTGGTAGGAACAAGCACTATTCCTAGCCCTAAGTGAGTCCCTGGCGCTGTTCCTTCTCTCCTTTCCGATGGTTCTTTCCCAGCCTTGGGCAGTTTTCTCATATGGCTGTACTGAATATTTGACGGGGACCCTTTGTATATAACCAGAGTTCTCTTTCTGTACAATTCCCTCCTCTCCAGCACACTTTTCTGTAAACTCTAGTCATGCTGATCTTCCTCTTAGTTTCATCTCAACTCAGGGAATCTGCAGGACTCTGCCTGGGTTCTCCTTCACTATGCTGAGGCTAGGAAACTCTCTCAACAAAATAAACTGGAGCACTAGTAAAGCTCACTTCATCTGTTACCTTTCTCTAAGAATCATTGTCCTTTGTTCTCTGATATCAAGTATTTTGAAAACCACTGTTTCATATATTTTGTTTGTTTTTGTTGTTTTTCAGGTGGGAGGATAAATCCAGTCCCTGTTACTCTATCTATGCTGCATTTGAATAAAGTTTTATGTTTGCTGTTCTGAATCTTAAAAGCAAAGGAACTAGACATCTCTCTATAAAAGTATGAAGTTAGTTTAAAAATTCTTTTTACCAGCATATAGACACTTTGACAGTTTTTTTTCCTTATGACTGAAGTTTAGTGGCTTTCCATAGAAAAAGACATTTTACCCTCACATCTAAAATCCATTTATGGAATAATGTAATTATTCCATTATCTACTATCTGTAAAATATGTTAAGTTTTCTATAATTAAAGTACTCCATAAAAATAGATAATATTCTTCAATGGAGTGAAAAAATTACACAAAGCCAGGAAGGAAGGACTTTTACCCTCTCATTCCCAAGTCAAAAATTAATATATCTAATAGATTCACCATTACAAATTCTCCAGGATCCAAATATAGACACATCTTTATGTGGCTGCATAAATAACTATTAAAAGATAATATATGTCTGATATTGATGAAGAATGATAGATAGTCTAGTCTCTTTACTCCCAGAAACCCAGGAAATTTTATTTTTTTTCTTACTCAGTTAGACTTCATATCCTGCATAATGCTCATTCACATTGGCACATTTTCCCTGAGTCGAGGTTCAGGAAATTAACAGGGATAGAGAACTGAGTTGGGAAATAAGTTACCAAACTTTCACATTCAAGGGTTAAGATGGAGGGTAGAATGCAGGCAACCAGTATAAAATTTCAGTTGTAACTTTCTCCTCAACTGTGTTATTCCACTCCAGAAAGTTCATCATCCTTTGCATACCCTGCAACTTTTTTTTTTTTTTTTTTGAGACGGAGTCTCATTCTGTTGCCTGGGCTAGAGTGCAGTGGCATCTTCATAGCTCACTGCAGCTTCCGACTCCCGAGCTCAAGTGATCCTCCTGCCTCAGCCTCCTGAGTAGTTGGGACTATAGGCGCCTGCCACCATGCCCAGCTAATTTTTAAAAATTTTTTGTAGAGATGGGGCCTCGCTATTGTCCAGGCTGGTCTCAAACTCCTGGCCTCAAGATTTAATCCTCCCACTTTGGTCTCCCAAAATGCTAGGATTACAAGCGTGAGCCACAGCGCCTGGCCTTGAAACTTTTTCTAGTTTGAATACTTTTCTAAGAGATGATAGACTTGCCAAAACTGCTGCTTGATTTAGATGTATAAGGAATGGCAATATCTTAAAATTGCATACCTGGAATAAAAGTTTTCCTACTTCCTGAAACAGTCTGGCACAATTCTTTCTCCATGCTGATTTCCTGAACCTCAATGTGATCCGCTGGCTTAGGATCACCATTGGTAGGTCAGAGTAGTTTAGTAAGCCTAAATAAGAGTTTTAGTCATTTCTGAGTGGATAGAAGTTATCACAATTATGAAGAGGATCAGGAAGACACAACTAAGGTGTTGTCAGTTAGAGTCACCTGCTCAAGGAAACAGCTGTGGCAGTACAATAGGGACCAGGGAGTGGAAAAGCTTAAGCCTTATTGGGTATGGCTAAGTGTTGTAGGTCCTAGACATAGAAGAGAATGAAACAGGTAAGCAAAGAGGTGGCACTCCAAGGAAAGAGCACAAGAATTACACAAAACTGAAATTAGTAAAGAAGGCAAGTAACAGTAATAAATGAAGGATCAGATTTGGTTACTGTGAAAACTCAAGATTGTTCATGAACTTATAGAAGGTACAGACATGCTGATCCTGAAAATAAATCACCTAAAATATTAAACTTGGATAAGAAAACTGTCCTTGAGATTCTCCTTCATGAGAAGCTGCTGCAGACAAGGTATATAATGTTTGATATCCTCTTGACCAAGCAGTCTGTGCTCCCATCTGAAGATGAATTATGAGCAGGCCTAGCTTATTATTAATAGTAGTAACCTCCTCTCCTGCTGCTGTGTGTGCTTGTGTTCACTAAGGGTCATCTGATATTAGTTAAAACTTTCAAACAGATTAAAATGATTAACTTTGTAGCACTAGATATGGTTAGCTCCTCTACGGGATGATGATAAATGAATCTGTGGACAGCATTAATGAGCTAACATGTCTCCCCAAATACTTAATTTACAGAGAAAGACTGGCTCAGGGAGTTCTTCTCCCTCAACTTCTCTTTGAAAAATCACCCTGGGTAGTAATCAGCTGACATAAGGCCACCACATAGCACCATCTAGGCTATGTACTGCATATACGTGAAAAATGCCTCCTGGAGTTGCACAAAACAGGGATACATTTCTAAATTGAAGTTCAACTTTAGATTTACACTAACTGAACTGCTTAAAATATTTTTAATTGTAAAGAATACCACCAAGGACTAGGACAGCTTAATTGCCATCAAACTATTCTCGGGTTAATTTTAAAGTACCAAATATTTTTAATTGCTCTCAAAGCCTTCGAGCACATACCATATTATCGGTTTTTCTAAAAGTTTCATTTGGTAAAGTTCTCTAAATAAAATATACGCTGAGACAGAAAAATATGAAGAAAGTTATCTTCCAAAGCAATTAAATGCTGTGTTTTTATAATACATTCTTTAATTTCCTCAAATATTTAAATTTTTATCTTTATATAA